TATATATATATATATATATATATATATATATATATAGCCAGAACACTGCTTGTTTTTGCAGGTTACACACGTAGGCATTTTTATAGTGCATCTCCTTGAGAGTGGGGAGTACCAAGATGGCGGCAGGTGACTTAACTTTTTTCGAGCTATCAGCAATCCAGTGAATAAATAGAGATCTGTGGCGCAGGGTGACATAAAATCTAAAATTTGCCCCTTTCTTAAAACAAATGTACATGGTCAAATTCTACTATTTAAGAGGACATTCCATTTTGGAATTAATTATTATTATTTTTTTATATATATACCTAACTTGTGATGAAGATGTGTGATGAAGATGCAGCAAACCGGTGGAACTTACATTTAAATGCAAACCTTTCCTACACCATCAAGTCACTGTTACACCTGCTGCAAAATTTCAGCGAGCCCCACTATTTAAGGGCTGAATGCTCCATTTGTCCTGCTTAATGTGGCAGACCCTCGACGTTAACCAGCAAACAGAGGGTTAGTGCTTAGGGGCCGGTTTGGGATTGGGACTACAAGTGCTGCAGGCATGTTAATTATTCTCACACCCGACTTTGGTCTAAATCTAAAACATGCAAGGCAATGGTACTTGAGTACCAGCATTGAAAATCACTGGTTTAAAGTACTGAGGAGGAGAAGCAATGAAAATGCAGACAGAGCTTTAAACAGGCAAGAAAAAAGTGGACACAAAAACAGCTCAAGCTTGTAAAAGTTTTAGGTTTCAACTATTTTCTATAAAAGAGACATCCACTTGTGCCTCATATCAACAACCATCTTCAAGATGTTTCATCACTGAGTCTTCGCTCAATATTATTTTCTGCAGATTTCTATTATTTTTCTCAATTTCTATGAACTTTCTTCAGATTTTATTTTTCAACATTTTCAATCATGTTTTTTCTCATTAACAGATTATTTCCTTGTTTATTTGATAGGGATTTCAGTTATAAGATGATATTGAATTATGAGTTACAGAAAATGATTATTGTATTTTAACATTTTAAATAAATAATTTCTAAGCTTTGAAAAAAGAAAAGAACCTGCAGTAAACCTTTTAATTATATTCTCATTAATTGACCTTAGAATTCAAAAGGCCTGAGTATGAACACTGCAGAACTACATCTGGCTGCAGATCTACCTGTAGGTTTTGATTTCCTTAATAACCTCTGCCAAG